CTTTGCCTGCCTGTCCTTTCGGTACGTCATGCAGTAGTGGGAATCTTAGAACTCCTGGCCAACTCATCACAGTCTACACGATGCTCCAGGTTTAGACTGTGCCTTCCATGCTCCGTCTCCGTTCTCGGCGGAGCGAACACCGGATTCTGTGGAGAAGCCTGGTGAGATGCAGCGCGTTAGGACCGTCTGCCACCAGCTGGCGCCGGTGGTTCGGCCGACAGCGGCGCGCAGAGGCCGCACAGCCCGCCTCCTCCCGGTGTCCCGCCCCCGCCCGCCTCCTCCCCGGTGTCCCGGCCCCGCCCGCCTCCTCCTGGTGTCCCGGCCCCGCCGCCTCCTCCCCGGTGTCCCTCCCCCGCCCGCCTCCTCCCCGGTGTCCCGCCCCCGCCCGCCTCCTCCCCGGTGTCTCGGCCCCGCCCGCCTCCTCCTGGTGTCCCGGCCCCCGCCTCCTCCCCGGTGTCCCTCCCCCCCGCCTCCTCCCCGGTGTCCCGCCCCGCCCGCCTCCTTCCCGGTGTCCCGGCCTCACCCCCTCCTCCCCGGTGTCCCGCCCCCGCCCCCCCTCCCCGGTGTCCCGGCCCCGCCCGCCTCCTCCTGGTGTCCCGGCCCCGCCGCCTCCTCCCCGGTGTCCCTCCCCCGCCCGCCTCCTCCCCGGTGTCCCGCCCCCGCCCGCCTCCTCCCCGGTGTCCCGGCCTCATCCGCCTCCTCCCCGATGTCCCGGCCTCACCCGCCTCCTCCCCGGTGTCCCAGCCCTGCCCGCCCCCCTCCCCGGTGTCCCGGTCCTACCCGCCTCCTCCCCGGTTGTCCTAGCCCTACCTGCCTCCTCCCCGGTGTTCCGGCCGTGCCCTGCCTCCTCCCCCGTGTCCCGGCCTTGCCAGCCTCCTCCCCGGTTGTCCCAGCCCTACCGCCTCCTCCCCGGTGTCCCAGCCTACCCGCCCTTCTCCCCGGTGTTCCGGCCGTGCCCGCCTCCTCCTCGGTGTCCCGGTATACCGGGACGCCAGGGGGTCTACTTCAGCAGCCACCACCAAGAAGCTGATGCAGAATTCTGTCCTCAGGGGCAATACACGCCGAGCACGTCACGGGTGGTACATCGAATGCGTCATGAACGCTGTTAATAGGTGGTCATGGCGTGCTTCACGCTTCAGCTTCACAGCGTGACAGCGGCAGTGTTGCCGGCTACAGCGTCAAATGTGGAGCATTACCACGTTCTCCTGGCCGTCCTGACCGCAAAACGAGGTCTCGTTTAGTGAACACTAACGCATGACTTGTGCCTGCAGCAATAACTGAATTCTACCTCGACGTTTGCTGATGGCCAAGCTGAACAGCTTGGCTTTCGAACCAGCTTGTGGAACCGACATGGCACTGGTTGGTGCTATAGTAAATTCAGACCGAAAGCGAAGGCTCCCCTTAATTACGGACCGTGATTTGAAAAAACTGCCAATATTAACTTGAAGCAAACCTTGTGACTTGGATGCGGCCACGAAATCATTAATACGAGCAAGAGCTAGGGTCAATTCAAGCTCGAGCCATCCAGCCAGCCAGTAGCGCGCGCTACCGCTGAAGAGTCGGCGTGTTCTGCCACAGTGGCGCCTGGCACAGTAACGATGGGAAAGACGTGGCATGGGCGGCAACTGACGACAGCGTCGAGTTTAATGTACCGAACGAGAGCAGGAGTCTTATCCTGCCGCTTATCGCGCATCACAGACACCGCCAGTGGAATTTACTCTTGGTTTGTCCTGCAGCGGCTGCCGCGTTCCCATGATTCTGATGCAATACTGCAACAATATCAGATAAAAGTCGCGCATCGCTATTCACCGCGCCCAGAGGGATTACACGGAGACAAACACTTGATCTTAAAGTGCAGGGGCTCGATATGCGCGGTCTGATCAGAACGCTCAAAGGTGACGGGTTTCGACGAGTAAGTGCCAGCCGTGAATACAGACAGTAAGTACCACCTGGCTGAAAGGTCGAAGCGAAGCCTATTCGTTAGACGAACATTGGCCTACCGACTTGGCGAAGTCAGGTCATTGATCCAGGCTTTGATTAGCAAGAAATATGATTTCAAAGCAATCCTTGCTAGAGTCTGTTATCAGATTTTAGGCCGGTGCACTGCCAAAAATATTTGGCTACCCATCCCATAATGACTATCCATTTTCAACCAATTTATATAATTCTTAAGCCCCGACGACCTTCGTTGAATGAGGATCACACGTTTACCACCAACACACGACGAGTTGAGTATGGCTCGCTGCAAAATGCACGTGGCTCTCCGTATTGCCACTTCTCAGCTAGCGCCGCCAAGCGGTCACGTGGTGGTTATGTAAGAGTCGTGACTCGGCGCTGACTTTTTCAAGCAGTGTGGTCTCTTCATCGCGTGCGTGCGGCCACCATCATCGCTGAGGTGCGTCGCTGCAGGCTGGGTGTGTGAACGCCGGCAGGATTTCGGTGAGCTCTTTTGAAGATGGCAATTTTATGCCCGTTGATTGTTTCAGTATAGTTATAAACAAAGCGTTATAGGACACTGCACCATGTTAAATGACATAAAATAATCGTTGAACGTTAACTAAATTTCGGCATCAGTGAAGGCAGCATTGAATCAAGATACCGGTTGCGTGACATTCCACAAGAACTAGTGGCCGTCAAAAAGTCCTGACCTCTTAAGTTCACCTTTTATGATCAAATGGCGGGGAACTCCACTTAAAAATCCGTGATCGGACGGTAGCTTCTTGGTTATATGAAGCCTCAGTCATCTCAATCTAAACTGTCCTTGAAGAACGACCTTGAGGTCAGGATTTTTTAGAACGATAGTTTATGCGCTGGTCAACATTCTGATGCTCAAAAATCTGAAATCGCTCGGTGACTCTTGGATGGTATGGAGTTTCCGTTCTTTAAGCCTAAATTCTGCCTTTAAGGATGACTGTGAGAGGTCAGGACCTATTGAAAGCCTCTAGTTTATACACTGAAGAAAATTCCGATGCTTGAAATACGAAATTGGCCTATAACTGGGGTGATGCAGTGCCCTGTATTTGGCCTTGAGGAATAACTTTCAGAAGCCAGAGCGTCTTGGTAGATGCTAGTCCATGTGCCGAAAACGGTTCTGGTGCTTAAGAGCCCGAAGCTGGCCGGAAACTATCGGGTAACGCGATTGTCCTCGTCATTTGACATTGAAGTTACCTTGCAGGGTCAGGGCTTGTTAACGAACGCTAGTTCATGCGATGGTGAATATTCCGACGCTTAGAATGCCGAAAGCGGGCGGTAATTCTTAGATGATATGGAGTTTCCAATAGTTTTGGTCTAAGTTCGACCTTGAGGGGCGATGTTAAAGGTCAGGATTTCTTTAAACACCCGATTCCATGCACTGGTGGATATTCTGATGCTTAAAACCTGAAATAGGCCGGTAACTTTTAGGTTATGTTGAGTTCCCCATCATCCGACCTTCGAGGTCCCGTGGCATCGTAAAACAGACGTCAAATTCGGTGTCCTGGTGCCATAATTGACCATCTACCACGTTTTCGTCGAAATTGTAATTCGCCGCACCATACACCGCCAAATAAACCGATACGGATATGTAATATCACGGACATTGCATAAAATGTAAATCTTGCGGTTGAAAAATTGTCAACCCTTGAAAAAATCCACTACTTGAAATTAAATATGATGCGAATGTTCAAGTAATAACAAAACAGCCCTTCCGAAACCTGTCCCGTCCAGTGCAGGCCAAAGAGTCGCAGTGTGAGCGCATCTAAATGAATGCCTAGTGGGTCCTCACTGCACATCCACGGACTTCTGCGGGCCCACGCCGGTATCCAACCAAGAGAATCGCGATAAATACTCGGTATATTTTACACTGCGGAAAGGCGGCACGTCCGCTCGGCCGGCCGGCACCATCCGCCAGCGACACGCGCTCACAGTCACTCGATCACGGACCGGCAGACGGGCCTCCAGCCGACGAGCGCTCGCACGAGTTGACCACAGACTTGTACGGCGGCCGCTGGTCCGAGGACGCCCGGAGCGCCAGAGCACGCGGCGCGCCCCGGCAACAGGGACGGGACGGACACCGGGGCCAGCCGCCACCGCCGCCGTTCACTCGGCGCGGTCACAAGCGCCTCTCTACGACTGGGACTAGAAATAAACCATCTCACCGCTGCCACGGACACTGGGTCGCTTGTTTTCAATCAGGATTAACAAGATCATGCCATCCAGTAAATTGAAAATGCATGTCACGTTTGCGACAGTGACCACTCTTCGTCGACGCACACCGTCCCTGGCAGTCCATTTCTAAGGGAAGGCAGGTGTTTCGAAATGGCGAATTGAGAACAGCCTTTACGGTATGAACGGCGACCCGGCAAATATTGCAGAAAAGAATGTACGACTACCAGATATAAGCTTATGTGTTCATGGTAGCAATATCTTTTTATGCAAAAATCAGCTTTCTTCCGCACTACATATTGCATCAACCAACTAATTGCCATCATCACCAATACTGTCTGTGGTCTGATTATCACATGATCTTCACGGACAAAAAAAAAGGATTTCGGTATTCTTGGTAACTGGTTACCTATGTCTACGAATATCGCAATCTTCTTAATTGGGGTGTTCAGAGGCGCCGATGGTGATCAACTCCCATAACTGAATGCAAGCGGAATAAATACTCCAGACACCTGGCTCCACACCATACTTGGAACTTAGCCTTCCTTGTGCCGCACCACCGGCTGACCCCCGGCATTCTTCCACACACAGCACGCCGCTTTGCCTGCAGCGCGACCTCACATGGAATGCAGCCCGGCTGACCCGGCCTCGCAGCGCGGCGCCCGCTCCAGTCCGGACACCGGAGGCGGCGCCCGGCTCCGACGGTGGCGCCGCACACCGGCGCGGCCCGGCACTAGCCGGCCAGCGCGCCGCTTCGCTCACAGCTCCCGTCGTCGGCAGAAGAGGGCGGCTCGGGCGCCGGTCCGCCGGCCCGCCCTCTCTCCCTCTCTCGTCAGGTCCGCGGCGGGTGCGGCGCGTCACGTCTCGCCTCCGTCCTCCGCCTCCGCCTCCGACGACAGCTGGATGATGGCCATCTTGACGGCCTTGGTGGCGTCGCCGGCGCGCGGGATATAGAACCTGCGCACGGTGAGCACGGGCCGCGGTCGGTCGGCGGTCGGCACCGGCCCCCGGCACCGCACACCAGGCGAGCGGACGGCCACCATCGGAGCGGCACACCGTCATCACACACGGCGGCGGGCGCGATCAGCCAGCAGAGGACCACTGCTCAACTGACACCATACACTTCAGCCTAAAAAAAAAATGGCTAGCGGAATTAATGAGATATTTCGAACGGCAAATTGCGCTTGGTGGCATTGCTGCTTCTCCAAACAGTGTCCACGTAATTATTCGGCACGGTGTTCTACGTATGCGTACTCCCAATCCTGCGTGACGCACGCCGGCTTGAGATGAACATATGGCTGTTCTGAGCACCGGTACAATACGCGCGTCATAGCAGCCACACATGCAAGAGCAGACCACACTAACGCTGCAAAGCCGCGGCATCGAGTGTTCGAAACACACTCGTAACCTCAGCCGCTGCGGAGGCTTGCCTACCTGTCCAGGTCCGTGACGGTCATGCTGTCGCCCTCGTTGACGCCGTACTTGAAGGTGATGAGTTCCGGCCGCTTCTTCTTGCTGGTGATGGTGACGATGGACGTGAGCGAGCGCTTGACGGCCAGGTGCGCCCAGCCGGGCTTGCCGGCGATCTCTCGCAGCACCAGCAGCTGGGTGGGCGTCACCAGCAGCAGGCTGCGGCACAGGCGACGCTCGGACGTGGGCAGCGCACCGATCCACTGACCGCCGACCCGCCGACGCGCCGACCCGGCGAGGACAGCGGCCACCGAGCACGCCGCATCGCCACTGACGCGGTTAAACATCACACAGCGAGCATCCTAACTTTGATCTAAAATCGCCGCCGACATACCACACGCTCGCAGCCACGCCGTCGGCGTCCGCCAGCGCCTGCCGCCACGCTCCGGCAGCCCGCCCAGCGAGACGCAGCGCCCGCCGGGGTCGTACCTCGGGTGCGCCAGGCGGCTGTCCTTGATGTGCTGGCATTTGAACTGGTGCAGCACCTCGGGCTTCTGGAGCCAGTCGGCCACCTCCACCAGCTCCATGGTGGACTCGTCAGCGATTTCGACCTCCTCCAGCTCGTCTGCGGACGGCACGGCGCGCCGTCAGCTCGCGCACAGGCAGGACAGAACAGTCAGTGCCAGGTCAGACTGGTGCAGGCCTACACAGCACCTACCACACCTGTGAAAGATGACAGTCGTACCGACACCGACAGCAAAGGCAAAGCACAGCCTCCCCCCCCCCCCCCCCCCACTGGCGCAGAGGTACAAGGCGATAAACGACGAGGCCTGATAAATTCACAGTGAACACGTCAACAATAGTTTCAGAGTAAACATGTCAACCCTCTTGACCTTCTCGGTTTTCACGTCATAATGCCGGTCGAACGTCGTTACAACCGTACAACGTTGCACATTTCGAGTCGCCGCCCGCCTCGCCAACGAGAAGCAGCCCAGCAA